ATAAGGAATGATTAATCGTAATCATAAATACCTGTGTATTATAATTAGGAATTATGGTGTTGAACTTTTTTAATTATTTCTTCTATATTGGCATCTTTTGGACTACATGCGATCCTCATTGTGTCTTCTAAATGAGTGGAAAGACGATTACGGTATTAATTTTTTAAGAAGCTCATTTTGGAAAATGAAGCTTCACAGAGATATGTTGAAGAAAATATGGTTAAAACGAATTGTGCGCAGTCTTGCAAAGATTTATACTTGCTAGGGGTATTTTTCCAAAATTCATTGTACTCCTGCTTTTCACGGTGCTCAATAAAACTAGCTTTTAGCTGCGTGTCGTGCTTTAGTTCAATTATTTCATTCATCAACTGTGTTTTAGAAAATCCAAACTTGCAAAATAATTTCATATCTTCGTTTTGAACGTGCCAAGGATTTTCCACAAGTAGAAAGCAGTTCTTAATCTCTCGCACATCGTCAAATCTATTTTGTATTTCTCTCAAATATTCTTTCAAATAGGATATCAAGTCTTGATGAATAGTACTGTCGGGAATAGAAACTTCGGCTTGCAGAGCAGCAACAGTAGGAAAATTTGAAAAATCTCCTGCTTCGAGTTCGTTTATATATAATCGCAGTTTGTCTTCAAATGCAAAAACTTTATTTGTCATTTGCCCAATTATTTTGTTAGATCCTTGCATGTCTAAATTAAGACTATTGAATTTCATAGTGATGTCGGTCAAGAAAGCCGCAAGTGTCCACCAGTCATTTTGTTGTAGTTGGGGGTATTCTTTGCCACTTTGTTGCAAAAAAAGTATTATTTCGTGTTTCAAATGAAAGAACCGTTCTAATACTTTTCCCTTGCTTAACCATCTGACGGCTGTATGTAAGATAACATCGCCATAATTAGCTTGTAATTCTTCAAGAAGGTCCTTGAATTTTCGATGACTAAGTTCGCGCGCGCGAATAAAATTTATAATGTTTACAATCGTATTCATCACTTCTTTTAATATGTTATTCGAAATTTTACATGCCAAAGTTTCTTGATGCAGCAAGCAATGAATGGGCAATAAATTAGGTAAATTCCATTCCTTCTTCATTAAAGCAATCAAACCATTATTTGCACCCACCATTGACGGACAACCATCGGTACACACTGATATCAACTTATTTACAGGTATTCCGTGTTTTTCTACTAATTCTTTTAGAACTTCCATAAAATCACAACCTCTCGTATGACCCTTCATGGTAATCACTGCTAAGAAGTCTTCTTCTATGATTCCGTCCATTGTGCAGTACCGAACAAATAATGAGCATTGAGACATAGAAGTTATATCCGTACTGGAATCGCAAGCAAGACTGAAGTATTTGCAGTTTTTCAGTTTGTCAATTACTGCCTCAAACAAATTTTTCGAAATATCTTCAACACGGCGGCGACAGGTGGATTCAGAAAGTGTAAGCTTGTTTACTTGTGCCATTATTTGTTTACTATTTGAAAAATTTTGAAATAACGTTTGAGAAACAGTTATCATACACTCTTTCATCAATTCAGCATCAGTAAAGGGTTTCATGCGTTTTGCAAGAATGTTACAGACTTGGTATGATGCTTTTGTAATAGCTTCATTTTGCCCAACTGCTGTCGTCATTAGGTTTTGTTGACGATGAATTGACGATTTCAAATGAATTATTTTATTCTTTCTTTCAATCGTTTCTAAAGGGTAGGCTTCGGTAAATGAACTATGCTTACTTGTGTGGTGACGAAATAAATTGTATCGCTTAATTCCAACGACAGTTTCCCGGCATATTAAACAAATAGCAGTACCTTCCTTATATCCATTTATAAAACAAAATTCTTCCTCCCATTTTTCTTGAAAACTTCTATTTTCATCAGTTATCTTCCTTTTAGTAGCACATTTAGATGATACTCCCGCCATTATTGGTACACGAAAGAATAAGATAAGAATGAATACCGCGCGCGCGTTCGATAAAGAAAGAAACGTCCAGTCTTGTGCGTTAAAACAAATGAAATGGAACGCGCGCGGCTCGTGTCGCTCTCGACTCCAGTGCGGGAAGCAGCGCGGTAGGTATATGAGCGACGCGACGCGTGTGTGTGGGAACTATCGTATCGTCAGTTCGTCACTCGTCAGTAATCGTCGCCGAATTTGAATACAAAGTCGGATATTGATTTTGTTTATGATTATGACATGTAGGTATAGTTGACTATTATAAATGCAATTTACTTTGCTGGGCCGCAGAAATAACGCCCGCGGGCCGCATGCGGCCCGCGGGCCGCTATATGACGACCACGGCATCAGAGTATTGAAATCCATGCGGTCACTATTACTTTATCACCTACAAAACCAACAATACTTTCACTGACAAAACAATTGAACTGGATAAGCCTAGTTCTCTTAATCTTTATATATAAAAATGGATCGCAAAATGTGTTGGTAAGCGCATATTTCAATAACGCCTGGACCAATTTTGCTAATTCTTTTTTTGTTGTGTTTCTAAGGTTCTTATCAAAGACAATATTAGAAAAGTAGAGGGGAAGATTAGGAAAAGGTGGCCCATTGATAGCGAGATAGTTGGACCCGTGCAATACGGGGGCGGGCCGCTAGTTTGACATAAAAACCCACTACACAATCACAATATTTCTAAAAGATCTTTCATGCCTTTTTCTGATCTTTTACTCTCAGTCTTTGTTACAATACTGATTTATCAAAGAGAAAGATCATGAAAGTGATAGTTCGCAACACGTATTGAATACTAATATTTAATCATTCGCTTTCCTTATCCCAATTTATTAGGAACGGGCGCCATCTTTCTCCGTCGATAAATAAGCCCGCGATTATGACTCACCCTCGTCTTAGAATGCCTATCACGTGAGTTCTAAGATTACAAAATCCTTGCTTAAGCTTGAATTATTTGGCTTTTATGGTGCTTTACAAGGAGCTCTTATATTGTGCAAAAATCATAATTCTAAGGATAATTTAGTTTTTTTTTATGTAATTGGTCGGCAAACGAGCAGACGGCTTACCTGATGGTAAGCAATCAGCGCTGCCCATGGACACCCGCAACGGAGGAGTTACGAGTGCTTTGCCGACCGGAGGGAGTGTCAGACTCTTACTGACTAATAACCCCGTTCCTTCTGCTCTGGGCCAAAGTCGCGGTGCCTCATTGCGCTTACCCCGCAAAGCTTCAAATCACAACTGGAATCCTATTCATGAGCAGGGTGCTTGTCATGGCGGTTATGCGCATCTGACTGCTCGAAACCAATAGAAATGATATCACACTTAGAAGAATTGGATTGCACTAGTCGGCAAAAACCGTATTAACTCTCATAATAAATAAATTTTGCAACAACTACACAAAAATAAATCTACAAAACAGCAACGAAAGACACAAACTACTTCCAACAACCCCGAATCATCACAGTGTGTGTGTGCATTGTGCATTTACGTCACGTCTCGTCATGACACGACACGTCCACGACACGTCAATCGCTTATGACACTAAACTGTGGAGTGACCATTAAGGGGTACATGTTTGATAAATTGAGGGCCATTTCATAATCCTGTTAGTCCAATTTGTGCTGTCCTTATGAATACATAAATGGAATCGTTTTTGACCTTTGTGACTTGATAATTTTTTTACGTGATAGGTCACAAACTAGCAGACCTTTTCAACGAGTGCGTTGTCGAACTATTGGGGATTTGGGATTTAGAGATTTCGGGATTGGGAAGGGAATGAGGTAAGTGAAAGACTGAGCTTCCGATAACCTCACTCATACGGCGAAACACAACGATAAAAAAAATGTCATTTACGATTAAAAACTTTCTTCATTCTTGTATACTAGTTTACTTATGACAAGTTGCGAACTAATGTCAGGTATCCTAAGGAAATCATAAAAGAATACCAAAATATAATAAAAAATATATGCTCGCACAGAGATTTTACTCAAAGAATGTAAGCGAAAAACATCGGTTTAGCATTTAGGGAACAACACCAAAAAAGAACGTTACTGATAAAATTCAAAGTTCGAAAAATACCGTTAAACCAGAGGCTTTGTAACATCGCACACATTCACCGTAGCTACACGATTGGTCGTCCATAATCCAATAGGGTGTTCCGATTTGAATTTCGATCGGATTCGTGTTCTAAATTTAAATCTCGTTCGGATCACGTACGGTACGTGAGGGCGCAACAGACCTTCTGGTGTAAGTTTGTGGGTACTTGTTTGAACGGTCGGTTTTGTGAAATACCCTCTAAAATTTTAACAAAATTGTTTATGGAGGAACTTGTTGCTAGATTTAAAAGAAAGCTTTGACAACCAATACGAACGCTCTCAGAATTATAGTTAGTTATGGGATTGCTAATTGCCTCTCAAAAAATGTTTAACATCCATCACAAACTTCGAAAAGACACTACACGGTGCAGCAGAAAAAAATTCAAACTGAAGCCGACTGGTTCACTTTCAGCTTAAATCACTCCTCCTACTAAAGTAAATCCTCAAAAAATACTCGAAAACAGACGAGTATTTAACACAATAATACCAACTGGAAGTTGGCGCGTTACCCGGCTTAAAACAACTTAACGTGGACTTAAAAGTTAACGTTGACCGCGTCCCTACAACTCCAGTGGAACCAGTTGAAAACTTTTTGTAGCGTTTGCGTTAACTTTTTTGAATTGAGATAATGACTTGCCAGAAAGGTTTTGACGTGAATGCAAAAGTTGTAAATGTACCTACTGATTTTTTTTGTAACAAAGTTTGGTTTTTAAATGTATGTAGTTTGTGATGTGGTTTAGCATGCGCTTTTTTTAAAATGGACTTAGTAAAATGTCGTGTAATTTGTATATACGTATATATTAAGCTGAAGAGGTTTTTGTTTCTTTGAATGTACTAATCTCTGGAGGTATTAGTTCGAATTAAACAATTCATTTTGTGTTTTTATAATAACTATCGTGAGACATACTAAATTAACTAAAATTCGCGGGTTACTCACGTGTAAATGTTGAGAAAAGCTCTACTAGTTTCGAACCACAGAGGGGTTCTTCCTCATGAGCATCAGTAGGCTGCGCGACGTCGCCGCGTCCGCGCACGGTGCGACGCATAGTCTATACTAATATTATAACGAGGTAAAATTTGTAAGTTTGTACGTAGGGGGTAATCTTTGGAACCACTGGTCGAATTTCCAAAATTCTTTCACTGATAGATAGCTACAACGTTCCTGAGTGCTATAGGCAATAAATCATCACGCTACGATCAAATGGAGCCGAGCAGAGGGTGAAACCGCGTGAGAGTAGCTAGTCTTATATAAAAACGGAAGGCGGTTGGATATAAAAGTTTTAAAGATTCAGGTTTATCAAAATGCGCTGGTGATTGGTTATTGGCGTTTGTCAAATCTCATAATTAATCGGATCTTATGATCTAAATAGGACACAGAGTACAACAAAACTCTAAGAATAAACAAAAACATACCTCTTAGTAACTAAGCTAATCTTAATTACTAAGAGGTATAAAGGTAATGCTTATTTCGTCGAAATTTGACCACAGCTCGACCCCTAATTAGTTTAAACCAAACCCCATCTGACCAGGCAACCCTATAAAGACACGTGGATAAGTTCAACTTCAAGCAGTTAAAATCCCCAGCACTTAACGGATAAACCCGTGTTTAATCTTGTTTATTTAACTGTTAGTGTTCGGTTGCAGTTAGCCGATACTTTCGTTTTTGGTCAACAGTTAATCCGGTTAAAACTTTCTCGAAATAAGTAATTTTGTTTGTTATTTTAACTTGCATTGCGATTATTACTGTCTAAACTTCGTGAGTAAACGGACATTAAAGATGTAATTTTGAAATAGCTAGGGTTGTGCAATGCAGGTCTTAATAGAAATTTGTTCAAGTTTGGCAAATTCTTTTTACGGTAATTGATCAATCAAACATAATTTTCCGAAACACTCACTTTTTTAATTCCTAACAAAACTCAATCACCATTTTTTCTAACATACTATATTTTTTTTTCAACGATCAACAATTGTACACATTTTAAGTTAGTACTAAATGGGAGGATTGAGTGTGATTGATTAGAATGACAGTATTTAGGCCTTCAATAACCTCACTCACATGGCGAATACAACATTGTCATCCGTTTTCTGTGAGGCCATGGTATCACTCCGGTCGAGTTGACTCATTCGTACCGCAGCTTGGCTCTCCTACACTTAAATTACTAGTAACACCTATGTACCAGTTGAATTTAAATATAGTACATAATTTGTATGCACTATATGGTAAACAGACCCTTAAACTCAACGAGAATAGCAAATAGCATCTCACCACATTCAGGAATTTCGGTTACGAAACATTCAAATACTAGTCGAAATCCTTTCTAATGCACTGAATTGTTTCATTTGGCGTCAGTGAGATCCCTTAAGCCTTTCAAATCACTTGTCTAAGCCACAACAAGCCCAACAGGTATGGTATCGTGCCAACTTGCTTTCCATCACTCTATCCTACCGAAATACAGACGCCTGCCAAATGTTTCGAGTAACTACTAATTGTCTTCTAAATCGCTTGTTACTAGTGAATTGTAATTCGAATCACTTTGGTCTGAGTCTGTATGATTGGAATGTGGTATCGAGGGTCAATAACTTTTTCAGACATTTTGTGTGGGTGAAAAATATAACTGCTTATTAGGTGAATCAAATGTCGTGCTTAATCATGCATTAGGGCAATCTGGCAAGTCCCAATGTGCTTTTTTCCAGTAATGATAATTTAGATACCAATGAAATAAACATTGCTACATAGTTTATATAATGATACCGTAAACCATTTGCCTTCCAAAACTTTAGCAATTTAACAGATATATCTAAAGATTTCTGCTTCCAAAACCGCTAATTGGAAAAACCTTTACACCGCAAGAGACAGACATGGAATGCAGGTCAAGCTCATTAGCCAGCTCATGAGCCCACCTAAACAGTAGGATAATTTTCCTCCCTCAAAAAAACAAATCATTAGACAAAAACAGGTTTATGACAATAATCGTAAATCTATAAGCTATACCAATCAATAACAATAAGAATTAGACCGACCAATTTCAACCAATTGGTACTTTAGACCTTTCGAACAAACGTTGACCATTTCCTCATCCAATAACCCTTCTTCCGCCAATAGTTTCGATACCCGTACCTCACAGTCGGTTCGCAAACGTGAGACCAAACTTGAGGGTAGTTGAAAAGTTTTACTTACACTTCCAGAACTTTCTGTTTAGTAACTTCTATTTAGTTAGGATTTAGGATATTTTTGGATTTATTTTGGTTTTATTTTGGCAATGCGTTTTATAGCTATGTTACAATGCTTAATAGGTACAGTAAGGGTCAAAAGTGAAATTGCACTCTACCAATTTTAAAATGACTAAAATTTCTTTGTAGTAAAACTTCAATGGTTCATAGCCAGTTTATTATTGAATCTAAATCATTGGATTTAGATTCTATGCTATAAATTAAAGGAGTCCTCAATCACTGACTCTATTCTACAAAGATATTTTAAATTCGTAGAATGCAATTGCATTTTTGAGCACTGACCGTACATGCATTAACTCGTTTGGCGGTAAGTAGAAACTAGAGCCTCTCTAACAAACTTCTTGAGCTTTAATCACAATCAATGTTGTGGTCATAAATACCCCAGCTAAATAAGAAAACTCTCTTTTTTTCCAAGCTTTACCAAACGACCAACAAAACTTATCTTAATTGTATGATTTTTTTATGTAACGGATCGCATACGAATATACGGTTTACCTGATAGTAAGCAATCAGTAACGGCGACAACGATGGAGTTAAGAGTGCGTCGGCAACCTTTTGGGGATCAGGGTTTTGGAGATTCAGACAATGGGGAGGGGTAGGAGGGACTTCGGTAATCTCACTCGTTTTACGCTGGTTTTCTGTGAGGTCGTGGTATCACTTAACTCTCCCACACTTTAGCTTCTAAAATCTTTTGAAGGACTTTTTCTTGTCGGTTTGTGTAGACAAAAAATGAGTTGATTTTCATCGTTCTTCAATATTTAACCATGAAAAACAAAGTACAAATTATAGTATAAAGCTGAATTACATGAACGTTGTGAACCACAAAGCAGTAGCGACCTCAAAGAGCCGCGGCCTACAAACCAATTAGCTTTTATCACTGAGCAATTTATATTATATTTTATATTTTGTTGTAAACCTTTGTATTAATTGAAGTTTTCTATGTTACTGTTATGCCTCCGATTGGGAGTTTTTGAATTTCATAAACGAGAAAGTGAATAATATTTTAGTCTGTGTATATGAATACGTATATAAAATGTGTGACGTGAAAAATTTTGCTACTGATATTTTGTTTTCTTTTTTTTAAACATTGCTCTGCACTAGAATTTTCTCCTGTGTCGTGGGTACGGTTAGAAACATAAAATTTCACATACAAATGACACCCAGATCCGGAACAACAATCTGTGGATCACATAAAGAGTTGTTCCGTGCGGGAATCGATCCAGTGACACGTTGCACGGCAGCCAGTTGCCGATATTATCATCTCTAAGAAATTACAGGAATACAAGCTAAAGCTAAATACAGAAATTCTAGGAACAACTCTAGATATCGTGGCGATTACTGAGAATTGTGAAACCAAGTAGAGAATTTTGTTGCCAATTATAACAATCCGAGCTACATCCACTTATAATAAATTCCAGTATCAGAAGGAAACTTGAAATTCAAATCTTGGTCATCAGTCATCAGATGACAATACAATATTATGGTATTATAGAGCTGGTTTTAGTGATGGAATAGAACATTATGGGACCTTGGGGTGCTGGCTGGTAAAAAAAGGAATACAGAAGCTCCTTGTTTTGAAATATTTAAAAGACGAAATAATTGGGCTCATCATGGAGCCTTGCTCGTTCTTCTCCATTCAAATCTACACTTTGAAACGAGAACCTAGCTTTACTTTCGAATAGACCGACGGACTACTTTACCTGTTTATTGGTTTAGTTCGAATAATGTATTAAAAAAAGCGCGAAAGTTTTCGTATTTCTTGCTTATCCAATAAAAGCTACACGTTTGATAACCAGCCAGCAACAGCAGCTAAGTAACAAAATCTAACCTACTAACAGAATTAGTCCAGATATTCCATTTAGTACCACGTAATAATTTACCGTAGTAGATTATAAAATGACTTTATCACCGCATAAATAGCGTTGCTTTGTTCATTAAAGTGGCGTGGTACAATAAGGTGTGTGTTAGCAACAATGTTGCTATACACTAAACGGATATACTGTTTATGTACCGAGGTAGTTAAATGAATTTGTATTTAGTTCTGTAGTGTCTCGTCAGTGATATAAATAGATTGTTGCTGACAGAACTGACTGAATTGAGGAAGAACCACGCCACGCAATAAATGGGCCGACTCGACCAAAGTTATACCACGACCTTACAGAAAATCGACTTGGAACTAACCTCGTATGTGTTTTGAGGTAGTGGCCCAATCTCTCCAGTATTTAAATCCCCCAATCCTCAAATGTTTATCTCTCGATCTGTCGATGCGGGTGTCTGTGCAACACCGACTAATAAAACTTCAAACTCTCAAAAATTTTTGGTAGGTAGTCTAGGATGTATAAAAACACTACTTACTTATTACGTATACCATTAACTTATCCTCAAAACTCCTTCTCCATATAAATACAACTGAAGTAAACTCGAAACTTACCTGAAACAAAATAAAAAAAACATGTTAGATTCATTCTGTACAAAAAACCATTAAAATAACCAAATAAAACAATGTTCCGAAATTCAGCAAAAAAGAGGGTAGTTGCAAAATCGCAATACGCAACAAATTTCATAACTATCCACACAAATTCACTACAAATTACTCGTTCACAGAAGCTTTCATTCAGTTCGCATCCATTGGTCATCTGTCAATGTGCGCGTTCAATATTCAAAACAAAAACGAGTCGCCACCTAGTGGCAGGAAATTGAAACATCGATCCGTCACCGACACTCAATGGAGACGTGATGAATTGGCGCCGGTTGAAGGCATGAGAGGAAATGTACGTGCATTGTGGTCAGCAGAGGCAGAGCTATTGTCTAATAG